TTTGTAGATTGGATTCTTGTTTTTTCAAGGGTTTAGCTGCATGGGCAATTGATGGCCACATAAGCGTGGAATGATCACCTGGAATTGGTGTGTGTAATCTGACATAGGAACCAGATGAGGATTCAGTATGCTGAAAGGGCTATGCCTTCAGACTGGAGACATACAACATGCAACCCCCAATAATTGGTTTAGCTTTTAGTACAGTACAGCATAACCATAATCAAATTGAATTTCTTGCTTCATCAACAGCAAAGTAATTATCTGCTTACCTTGAACTAGTCTTATTACAGTGAACTTTTGTTTCATTATGAAGTGCTTGGACAGGCATTTGTGCAGTTGGGAAGAAACATGGTATACTTGAAATCATCCTCCAAAAGAAGTTAGGTTTTGCATTGTCAGTGGAGACACTAAAAATTGTAGGGATCAACTGATGTAGGTTTTAACTGCTGATCCAATGTCCAATGTTTGCTTGGAACATCAGCCAATGTCAAATCCAATCCGATGTTTTTACCAACAGTAACTGAAAATGCAACCTAAACAGGATCTAGGCCTTCTCATAACAACACAAAACCAGTTTACTCCCTTAAAATTTAAAATGTCAGTTTACACGTTACCAGTAACAGGATTAGTTTTTTGCCTTTACTGTCACAGAGTTGAGAGAATTGTGTACATCACATTGCCACTCACATGATACCAATAGTTCTCTGTTGTATTCAAACCCAACGCACGCAGTGCATACATGTGCAGTACATGCAGAATATACACACAGCACCTCGGGCTGAATCACGGCTAGCTTTCAGTCAAGGCACGTCAGGCATCGGTGCACCGCGCTTGGCTCATCAATCACATTGGTGTCTTCGTCGTGCCAATGGCAGAGGTGCGCGTCGTGTGTCCAGGTAGCAACCCATGCCTTGAGTAAAGTCACAGGCTACCCTCAGACTGGTCACACAGCACCTTGTGGTGCCTCACGTGGTGTAGTTCCCTGGCTCTTTTGATGGCGATTAATGGAAACAGTAAACATGTACACTGACTGCCCCTAACTTCTGCAGTCCACGTGTTGAGTTGTTGCGGCACGAATCGCGAAGATGTAATTTTCGAGGATACTTCACGTGGGCTACCTGGAGGTAGTGCGGCGATTTGTTCCACAGACCCGCTTTCCTAGTATATATAGGGTCATCAGGCAACCCCGGGTTTGTTGGGTTCCATGAGGTTGTGTGGTGATTCATTCAGCGGCCCCCCCTCCCCCGACCAACAGAATCAGTCTGCAGATTGATCTAGTGGTGGTGTATGCTGTACTTGAGATTTCCATGCTAATTCCCAGACTTTCAGTAAAGACTCTATCATGTCAGGATTAGCTACGCCACACTTCAAAGGGTCTGAGCAGTAGGGCAACAATCTAAAACCCTTAGTTCCCTCTGTCTACCACTGGGGATCAAAGTCATTGTCTAGTCCAAGGTCAAGTGAATCAAAACAACACGCAAGCTTGGTCTTTGTAATCCGCCCCCTTCGGATCCAATTCACCAGTCCCGACTGGATGAATGCTGTGCTCAGCCTCCTAGGTCCACACATCACATGAACTTAGGCTCCTTTCGGCCTTTTCGTCTGCCCAGTCACCTGACGAACCATGGCTGTTCCTCCACCTCCTAGTCAGCCAAGCCACCTCAGAAGAGCAATAAAGTGAGATAAACCAGCCCATGTTACCCCCCCCCCATTCCCTGCTGGGCCTCTTCCATAGACCGGAAGGACGCATACCTCCATATAACGATTCATCCACAGAGCTACGAATACCTGTGCTTCCTGTACAGTAGGAACCTGTTTGAATTCACTGCTCTCCCCTTACGGCCTCTCCACCTCACCAAGGGTCTTTACGAAAGTGGCAAAGATTGTCACTGTCACAGAGTTTTTCAAAAGCAGGATGTCATGCTCTTCCAGTACTTTAACAGCTGGCTGATCATCGGCATATCAGTAAACAACCTGTGTCTAGCTCCGTCTTTTGGGGTTGATGGCCAGCATGGTGGACCACATCCCACCCTGCAGGCTCAATATGCTGCCATCGCAACTTCATCTCCTGGCCTTTTACCTCCCAAAATGGGACTCAATCAACTAAATAACTGACTTCATTTGTCCCCATTTCCAGTGCTGGCTGGCGAGGGGAACCACTCTTCCAGAGTCTCCTTCCCCAGAGCGAGCCCAGATGTGGTCATAACTACAGATGCCTCCCACCTATGCTGGGAAGCCTCCCTACCCCCCCTTCAATTATCAGGAACTTGGGACCTCTAACTGCAGGGGAGTCACATCAACATCCTGCAACTCCAGGCAGTTTTCAATGCCCTTAAGTCCCTTCATTCGAGCGTCACAGGCAGACACAGTCTCATATGCTTGGACAACTCCACTGTAGTGTCATACATCAACTGTTGGGGGAGGGGGCACACATTCTCCCTGTCTCTGCCTCCTGACCAGACAGGTACTCCTTTGGACCAGAACCTTGACTTTGACCTCCAGGCAGCCCACATTCCCGGTATCAACAACTCTATCGTGGACACCCTCTCCCGAGTCAAAATGCACCCAATTGCATGGACCCTTCTCTCCAGCGTTGTTGGGCATATTTTCACCGAAGTGAAAAAAAACAAACATCGATCTGTTCACTTCAGTAGAGAATGTGAAGCAGTTGGTGTTCTGCACCAGATTCTATCACCCGCAAGCCTTGGCAACAAATGCTCTCCAAATCAACTGGGAAGAGAAGCTGGCCTACGCATTGCCCCCAATATCATTCATACCGACAGTTCTCTCCAAGATCAAATGAGAATAGTGCCAAGTGCTTCTTATTGCCCCAGTCTGACACACCAGCCCTAGTTGCATCAAATAACCAGACTGCTCGTCTGAACGCCAATTGTCCTTCCCACCAGACCGGATCTGCTTCACCAACCGAAGTACATTGTTCTTTATCATCATCCGGCGTCTCTACATCTGACCTACTGGCCATTGTCAAAACGATCCTTTCGCTCAGCAGGACTTTCTGAGGAAGCTGCTGAGATAGCCTCAAAGAGCCGATGCCAAACTACACGCAACATCTATGATCCCAGACTACAGCATTTTACTTCATGGTGTGCGGAGCGAAATCTTGCTCCAGCCGAAGTTTCTTGTGACTATAAGTGGCAGACTTCTTCGTGCATCAGTTAAGTCATGTTTATAGGTCTTTACCATTCGGCCATCACAGCCATACATGATGGTTTCCCTGGTGGTTCGACTGTGTCCAACAACGATGCCTTTAGACACCTCCTCCAGGGAATGTTCCGTGAGTGTCTAAGACTACTATCCACTTGAGACTTGTCAGCCGATCTTCAACTTCTGACCGGTCCCCCCTTAGAGCCACTCAGTGAAGCACTACTGCTCATCTTGATGGTGAAGCTGGCCTTTCTGCTGGCAGTTACTACCTCACAATGAGGCAGCGAACTCAAAGCCTTATCCATCGCTGATGGCCACATCTGATGGGAACGTCCGCCTCATCCCAACGTTGGGTTTCCTCACCAAGAATCAGTCAACCTCTTTTTACCCTCCTGATATATTTGTGCCAGACATTACCAAACACACTGGGACCCCAGATGACAAAACCTAGTGCCTGGTGTGAACTCTTGAAGTGGTACCTGGCCAGTACTAAACAACTTAAGGTGCAACATCGCAGCTATTCGTCACAGTGATAAAACCACACCAAGCTGAGAACAGAGACACTATAGCCAGATGAGCAGTTTTTGCCATCAAGTTTGCTAACATGGACTGGCCGAAATGCCTTGTCAGGGCTGTATCACTCTTAATAGAGGAGAGTGATTTCCTCTGTTGTACCCATAAAAATCTTATCTGTAATGTGAGGAATATATCATGCCTTATTAGCCATTTTACATGTCCAGAAAGGACACATATTGTCATTGTCATTGCTCCAGCCCTCTCAAAGTGTTGTGGATTTCTCTTCATTTCCAAATCTCGATCACATGCATGCTTAGTTAAACATCAATTTGTGTTATTCATCTCTTAGTATTGTTCTGGAGGGGATGATCAGTCTCCTTGGTAGTGTACCCTCCTCTACCTGAATATGCCACCAGCTTCGGTCAAGAATAATCTCTTGACCCTTTCATGTAAGCACTGAAAGCAGGTCCCTTGCGATTCATCGCATATATCAGGCTTCGTAGAGATCATTAAATTCCTTAACATTCTCTAAATTTTATTGTGGTCATGAAATTCCTGGAAAAGTCATTAAATGTTGTAGAAAAGTGAATAAAGTCATGAAAAGTCACTGAATTTTCTTCTTTTACATTTTGTATGTTATAATTGTATTGTGTTTTCAAGACAGGTTTAAGTTTTTTTTTAGGTGTGCTGATCTACGAATCTTCGACAGTTGTTACTGTTTTCTCACGTCAAAGGAGAATTGCACATAATGATTATGAAAGTTATTAAAAAATCTTTGAAAATGGACCATAAAAGTCATTAAAAACCTTTGAATTTGGACGGGTCTTGACACTATCAACCCTGTATATGTCGCCCTTACAGATAAATACTGTCGGGTGGTAGTGTATCCCTGTCACAAAATCACAAGGGTCCTAAGTGATTGTCACATGGATCCAGACCTCCTCCAAAATTTCGCGAGAATGCAAAATCTGTGTGGTTATCAACAGGATTGATCATGTGCATGTAAGGCACGTAATTTTCACAAGGATAGTGTGCGTTGAAGCCCATTATGCGCATGCTCACCTTTGCTGTTGCAATCATTCAAAATGGCAATTCATAAGTATACTGCCCATTAGTGAAAGTTTTGTCGCCATCTGTTGCCATGCAACAAAAAATTACTATAATGCATTTCCTTTGTTTGTTGGTAACTTTGTATTCTCTTTAGAAAGTGAAATATCACATTACACACATTCAAGTTTGGATGTGTTCCAGCAGGTTTAAAGTAATCAAGTAAATTTACAGTTGATGTAATAATTTGAATTTTTTTCTGAATTATACAGGACCATGGCCAAGATCAAGCACTCAGGCATCACCGGGGCCTTATCACGAGAGTCATCTTCATTCATTGGTATAAGTCTATATTATTTCAACAGTTCTGTTACTGTAGTTTTGGCATGTTTATGCACTAACTTTTTTACCTTCGGAAGATCACTGCTAGAATATTGCTATTCATGTTTATTCATTGCAATTACTAAAAATTGTGCACCTCAGGATTTGGCCTGCCATAATATATTTTATTTGGTTACCAAATTGTTGCTTATATATTTGTTTTCATTTACGTGTATAGCAAAGTCGTATGGAAGAGAGACTTGATGATGCAATTAATGTCCTACAGAGACATGCTGAAGGAGCTCTTCAGGCCATGCCAAATCACCCAGCAGGCATGGTACCACCTCCAGCGCATACAGGTGCTGCTGCAGCTATCAGTGTAGGCCCGTCATTTGCTCCACCAGGCCAGTATATAGATCCACACATGGTAAGATTTCTTGACAACTTGTATGCTCACGCACAGGGGGAACATGTAATGATTATGTAAAACTTGAAGTAGTACCAAGAAGGTATCATCTGTTTTTTCCCCTGAAGTTGGGAGTTTTACAGATTTAAGGAATATTGCGTTGTTTTAAAATATTCATTCTCTTGAGAAACAAAATGATGAATTCTTTACTACAGTAGATAAGTAAAGCATGGAAATGCACACAGTCACACCCTGCCAAGCTTTTGCCTTAGAGCGTGAGTTTTCAACCTAACTCTACACTTCTTGTAATCATACAGTTTATCACTTGTTTTTCATTGTTTACATGTGCTACCAGACAAACACAAGTACAATTTGAACTTGAATGACATCTCTAAAAGTGTAAACGTGAATGCCAGTGTTTGCCATAATGCACTGAGAAAACGGACTTCACCGTGGTCACCCATGGTGGTATACTACATTTATGTTGTGGATCACTTCTGTAAAGTACCTGGTTAACAAGAGGTTGTTTATTATTTCAAACTATGATGTAAACAAAAACACTGCATTAATAAATATTCTTGACTCGGATGATGGACATGTTCTGTTAAATGGGGGTACCTGTTTTGCAAACTTAGTTGTCACGGTGAGTAACTTTGGATGCCAAAGTGGAAATGTAGCATTTAAGGTAATTTGCTTGGTAAGGAACATTCTGTCAGAATGGAGAAAACCTGGCCACTCTTGGGACCCTGTCAGCTTCTATTAATAAGCACCAAACACAAGTTACATCCTCCCCTTTTCATAACTCCTTTCAAAGTTGATTTCCTCTGTGGAAAATAGAAACTGCAGTCTGTAAACAATTGCCAGGTTCTGTCAAGCTTTTGCAGAGTTGACAATCCTCAAGAGTATTTGACATGCCTGGTTTAGGGAAGAGAAAGAATTGAATTATTGGCGAGGTCTCAAGACACTTAACAAGGGGAAGTGTGAGGGAGGAGTTAGGAACGCTGTAGGTGAGGGAGAGAGGTTAACCCAAGGAACTGACCACTAAATGCAAATGCTTAAATGAAAGAACTCTACGCCATCACAGCAGTGGTCAGTTTTACTAACTTGGCCTGCATGTAAGGCAAAGAACATTGCTAACTGACTGGAAGATAAGTTATCTTGTTTAAGCTCAGGGGAGGTTTCTTCACTCATTGTGTGTTGTTTATTTTCCTGCTCAGCTCTGATCATAGACCTTGGTAATAAGTAAACTGATAAAAACATCACAAATGATGTCTTTTACTTAAACTCTTTGTTCATTTGTTTTTCTTTATATCATCTCTTACCATAACTATTGATAGATTTTGTTTGGTAAATAACTGTATAATATACTATAGAGGCACGTCATCATGTTTAAATATCAAAATGAATAGTCAAGATTACACTCATGAATCTACCATATGGTCAGTGTGCTGCACCAGACCTAGACAACCTGCTTATTAATACTTGCAACTCTAATAACAGCTTCTGAAGTAGTCAGATATTTTTAGCTAATAGTTTTGAAGTTAAACAGATAAGTGGAGAGATATACATGTAAATGCAATCATTCTGTCTCTATTTGGTTCTCAAGCTCAACCTCCTTGCCAACAGCCCCACTTTCCCTCTTAGGCTTGACTTTGAAAAACTCAGTCTAAACCTTTCCTGCTTTTAATTTCCTGAAGTCTGCAAAATGTTAGTGGATAACATGTGTGGTGTTGGCTCGTGTTTGTATGCGTGTTGGTGTTTAAAGAGTAGGAAATTAGTTATCCAGATCACTTGGGACAAGTGTTGTCCTATTTTCCTGTTTCGCTTCGTGAATTTAGAAGGAAATGAAAGTTACAGGTGCAGGTGTGTGTAGGGTGCTTTATCATTGGGGATGTACCATTTTTACCAAGCTGAAAATGCTCAAAATCAGCAATTTCTGATAGAAACTTTTAATTTGAATAGAAACCAGATTAGTCCCAGTGATTTCTGTCAAAAAGGGATTGACATTACAGATATATGAAATATGAAATTTGAGTTGTTATTTGCAGGAACACAGAATGATTTAAGCCATGTCAAATTGACACCCCTGTTTTAATAGGTTGACCCTTTGTAAGTTCTGAAATTAGTAAAGTTTCCCAAGCTGTACAAGCAGGGAGTTCATGTTGTGAATGAAAGCGAGCACGGCTTACTTAGGTTGAGTGTGGTGCGTACTGCTGATGAGAATTTGTTGAAGCTGCTTACTTGAACTGCATCATAAGACTTCTTGGTAACTTACCTGGCAAGTTGACAAGTAGTAAACATCCCAAAGCTTTGGAGTTGTGACACACGCTTCTGTGATAACAATGTGGTACTCACCATTGGACTCCAACATTCCACAACCCCCACCTCATCCTTCACTGCGTTACTATGGATATCCTTACTGCTATTGGGTAAAACCAATTTTTCATTGTGTTACTTCCTCTGATTTCTGTTATTGCATTTTGGTTTGTGTTATTTCTCAGAGTTTTTTCTCCATTGTAAACTTAAAGGGAATTTTGCAATTTGGCATTGTGTGTGTGACTGTACATGTAGGTATCAGTACTCTAATACAGTAAATGCTTTGGTAGGTTTTTAATCAGGTAAAAGTAGACTTGAGGGAAACTAAGAGGTAAGTCCAGTGTATGTGAATTTGCTTATTTCATGTTTGTAGCTCAGCTTTAGTGTCATAAGCAATTACAGGAACCTTATAGATAGGTGCCAAGCTTTCTTTAGCCTTAAATGTTTGAATAGAATACATGTAGCTTTTCTGAGGCAACAGTATTATAAATTCTGTTACAACAATTATGACTGCAGTGTGTCAGAAAAATGCTCTTTCTTATCAATTTTGATTTTAAAGGCACTTGCTGGGCAAGTAGCCCTTTTTTCACATAAATCTAATATTTAATTCATGTGTAGTGCAACTTCCTTGTTAAAGTGCATGCACTTTAATCAGTGCCATGACAGGCTTGCTTTGCCACTGAAGAGTCATTGTATTGTCCAAGTGCATTAACTCCAAAATAATCAAGATTTAATTTGAATATAATCATTTAATAATAGACAGCACAGCTGCACTGTTTCAATTTTCTTCTAGAGCTAATTGGTGACACATTTCAGGCTGTATTTATTTTGCACCAGGACTGCAGCCAATTGTGCTACATCCACAGAGAACCAATAACATCTGTGAGTTCCTCCATTATTCAAAATGAAGTGAAATGGATGTAGCCTGAAGCACAGATTCAAGGATTCTACAAAAGATTCTTGGACACAGTACTCTCTGTTATGATGTAAAGATATTGAGTTATATACAAGCTGGAGTTATTGGTCAAGTTGTTTGTATCATCAGGAATGGTTTTATTCCACCAGCCTTTTGGACTTGATGCAACACATTTCTTGTGATACTTCTTTGAACTAATTTGCGCGTCTCACATGACCCAGCTTGCACTTTTTGTTGTTGAACTTACACATGGATGGGAAAAGCATTTGCTTTTTTAAGAATTCATTCTGCACAACCGTTCATTTCATTAGTTGAAGCTTCTGCTTCTGTTTGCTACAGGAGCAGGTAAATCTAAACCTTTAAATTTCCCAAGGCTGAAGGCAGGAATTGGAACAGATGAAAAATAAATTTGTGACCCAGCACATCGAAATCAAGAATAAGTCTCAAATTGACTCTGAGATATGTACATGGCCAGAAAAAGAATTTCATAAAATTTTAAATGACTTGTCATGTTCATCAGATTATAAGTCAAAAACCAAAACAAAAGCAACACACTTGTTATACGTACTATTTGAAAGCATATGAAATTTTCTTTCTGACCACGTACGTATCTCAAAAAGTCAAATTGAGACTTATTCCTGATTTTGATGTGCTGGGTCACATTTGTGGTCATGATTAAAGTTTGGAGCCTTATTTTAATAGTTTCTTTTGTAGATGGAACTGTGTGTAAACTATTTGGTGTCAAGTTTTTTCTTCAAGGTACTTAACCTCATATTTGTCAATTTTATCTCAATTCGTGCAAGGAATCCTCTTAATACACTTCTATCAACGTGTGTGTTTAGTGTTTATGTAAATTACCCATATCAAACAGAAGAATGTTACTTTCAACATTTTCTGTTGTTAACATTTCTATTTCTGCTCATAATATTTTGGAGAAGGGTGAAAAAGAGCCTTTTATGTTCGAAAAATAATCTGTGTTTTCTTTTTGCTTTTTCATTTACAAGTATCAGTGATGCCAATCTGTTTGCAGTTGTATCATTAATTTGTTTGTGATGTTGAGATGTGCACACATGTTGTCCATGACCTAGTGTGACTTCTTACCATGAAGTCAGGCAATCAGACTTCTTGGCAGACTGCTAGTCGCTACTTCATGGTAGTATCAACAGACTTCATTTATTCTACCTTGTCAATCATTGTATCAATTACAGAATCCTCCCTCCATAATGCTTCTCTGCGTTGTTTAAGCCTTTCAAACAGTGGTGTAATGGGGGGCCCACAGGGGGCAAGTGACCCCCCCCCCCAAAATGTGAATAATCTCTGTTAAGTTTATATAGATTTGCAGTTGTAGCTTATTGTCATGTGGGACCCCCTTTAAAGTGCACCAGGTGCCCTCCTAGACAATTAGCCCTAGTTTTGCCATTGCTTTCAAGGAGAATCTGTCTCTTCAACAAAGTCAGTTTCTTGGAAGCTATAACTGGTTAGAATTGATGGTATAGTTTGCTATTATTTCCTTGGGATATAGTTTTATTCTTGTGAAAACACCATAATGTCAGTGTTTTTGTAGAAGGTCTTTCATTCCCAGCTTCTGTGCCCAATCCCAAGAAAAGGATGAAGTTACAGCTACAAAATCCGGAGTGCATGCCAAGTGTGTTTGACTGCTAGGGCCAAAAAAATACTAAATTGAAACGGACAAACATGTAAACGGACAAAAATGTATGTAGTAGTAGTATAGAAATGCCTAAATCCCAAGCCTTATCCACAGTGTTTGTCTCCGTTGACACTGCTCAGGATTTATTCAGTGAGTCACATTTCTTCAATTTTGGGGGTTTTTTCAAGGCAGACTGGGAAGTTGATTTCTGTGTACATGTAGATTACAAAGATACAGACAAGAACATGATTTGCACGTGATGCTATCAGCAAGTTGTAATTTACAAAGCAGGATGTTCACAGGCATGAAGAGTAGAACTGTTATGTCAGTCACAGCACTTCCTTGACAGTGGATAATCCTGTTGTGATAAACTTTACCTTGAACTACCTGTACTTGTCTGATACTTTTTACTTGGCAAGAAAAGTTGCCATTTCCCACACACCACCTACACAAAGAATGGGAACTCCCTTTTTTTAGGCTGACAAACTGGTGATAAATTCAAGACTTTACAAATTTCCCAATTCTTAATTGTATATAATTTTTGCCTCTTTTTGCTGGTATACTGCTTTTTATAGCGCTGTGTAAGATACTCTGTTACATTGATGTTAGTTATTGCAACAGGAATGTTGAGCCTAGTGAAAGTAATGAATAATGAGTTGAATTTTCTTTTTAAACTAATTATCATGTTAATGAGATTCTGGTGACAGTGACTCTTTAATAGAACCATGGACCTACAAGCCTTGAGTCAGTTGGCCCTAAGAGCATGGAATCTACCAATCTACTGCATCCACGTTATTTGACTGTTCCAATAAACATGTCATGCTCACAGCAGTACATGTGTATAGCACACTTTGCCACCGGTTTCATGGTTTGTAAAGGGAAACACTGGAAAACGCAACTCAAATTGCCTGAGTGACTATCTCTGTGAATGAGCCCTACATGCATTTGTAGGTCTTCATGGTCTTTAAGGACCTACTGTGCATTCAAACAAGGAAAATTTGTCCAGCTTGATGCAGACAATGAAACATGCAAACAAATACATTTGTATTTTGTAGTAAGACTTTCATGTGTGGACATATGTACATGTAGGCCTGCATCATTCATGCATGCACATGTGCATAAAACAACTTGGTAGAAATACTCCGCTTCAATAGTGATTTTTTTTTCAAACACTAATTTTTTTAAATGTGGTAGTGTACATGTTAAATTCCCAATAGCATTTTAAGCCCAAATGTAATGTATTCTTTGAAGTATTAAGCATTGACAAGCTGAAAGGACAATGTGGTAGAGCTTATACACTGATTAATGTGGGGATGTTTGTGTTGCTTTCAGTCAGGGTCACCATCTGTGGAAAGGAATGCAGTGGCAGGACCTGTGTCTGCATCTGAGATGAGCCAAACTCAACAGCCATTCAATGGTAAAACATCTCTTGTATAATGTTCATATGCTGAGGTTTCCTTGACTGCTTACATTATGGGTAATTTGTTTTTATTCAGGTGACCAGATTCAGAGAATTGTTCACTTTCTGTCCATTTTGGGGTTAAATGTAGAAAACTACACAAAATCTGATTTGCTAAAAAGTTAAAATTTCATGAGAACTATATGTATGCTTTAAAACATGTCTTGAGGAGAGTTGTCCATTTATGAGTTCAGAATTAGCTTTCAATGAGCCCTGGCCATTTGGTTTTGTTACTAACTATAGTACAAGGATTGAAGTGGTTAAGAACAACATGAATACAACAACCCAATGTATTTTGCATCTCTGGTCATTCTACTGAAGCTGTTCTTGATGCCATTCATATTATAAACAAAGTAATCATGGATTACAACTGTACAGGTCCTGGGTTCGTGTGCATCTTTTGAAAGGAAATGGCATCATTATCATATTTGTGTAGTTTCTCCTGTACCAGGTCATGTTGACCTGTGTCATAGTAGTAAAACACCAAACAGATGTGCATGTATAAGCTCAATAGTTGTCCGCATAAATGCAAGACATAACCCACATCACCTTGTACATGTACAATGTTGGTTGTTTGGGCTAGCCACCGATTTATACCCAAGGGTCTCTGTGCATTACTGCAAGTCATCTCTCCTACTTCTTTGTGAATTTTTCCTCCCTTAGCCTCTGACTGATTTGTTCGTTACTTTGTTTCCATCTTTCCTTCCACACTTTTGAAATTCCTGAAAATCTACAATCAGGTCAGCCCCCCCCAGCAATTTTTATAATGCATGCAGTGTTGAAGTGCAGTGCAGTGTTTTAAAATGCAGTTTATGGAAACGTTCACATAGTTTCCCCATTTCAACCCATTTTCAGTTTTCCTTGCATTCCACATTAAGGAATTTTGCTGTCTTTATGGTTATTATGTTAATTACTTGGAATTTCATGAGCAAAATGTGAACATTTCAGGATGATTACAACTGTTTCACATATACAGCTATGTCACCACCTAGATTTGCTGTCATTTCTGGTATTTCACTGATACATTGTGTCAGAACATGACAAGGGGCATTAAGCAAATATTACCTGACGAATCCTGTCAGTGAGAAAATTATAGGTTCGCACAATTGAAACAAAACCTGTATAATGAACATTGTCCTTCAGTCACATCACAGCAACAGCACCCATATTTGTGATGAAAAGCATGGAGAAGGTGAAATGTTTCAAAGCAACACTTTTCAGTAAGATCTACCAAAGAGGGATGTCATACCCTTTCAGTAGAAAATGGCACCAGATGTGTTTCTTAGTTGGTTTAAAGTCATTGGCCCTTTCAAGATGAAAAAAATGGGAATACAAATAGCCCATACTTTGTAAACCCTTTGAATTGTTCGCCATTCCCGCCAGTTGGCAAATAAGTAGAATTTAGGCTATTATTTCATTGACCTGGTGAGAAAATTTGGCAAATATTTTGCAAATTTAGACAAACCTTACCACTTTTTTGTCACTGAAATGCCATAGTGGTATTAATTTCCAATTTTCACAAACAGTTCCCATTCATGTTCGTTGTCGCAATGGTGAAAGCATGTGCGCAAAGCTCAGTGCGTAAAACGAAGCTGCTCTGGTTCGCGCTGCGCCCATGCAAAGAACGTGTGATGGAAATGTAGCAACCAGAACCAGTCTATACATGTACTGTACATTCCAGTCAATTACTCTACATCAGCTGTACACGCATATCGCATGCAACCCTAAAGCTGCAGGTCGAAAAAAAATTGATGTTGCAAGAGGTTTTCTGCAAGTTACTTCACTGAACTTGGTCTCTTATTTATGTATGTATTTTCTGTGTTCAATAGTTTAATTTGAGGTTGTTTTGCTTGTACTTGAAGCAAGCCTGTTTTAACAAATATCCTGCCGTGGCACAAGGTTCATCGCCTGCTGGTCTGGATGCATCACGCACGCTTACCACACGATACATGGACATTGTTGGCCATTTTCCGTCGTGACTGTCTGAGTAGCACTGTGTGAAATGTCCATAATTCTCGTGAATATGGTGTCGTCCCCATTCATGCCATTCAATCAGCACAAAAAATTGCCCCCCCCACAAAAAAATTTCCAACCTACTGACCGATTGTGTAATCAGAAACACAACTATTTATGTGGTCAATTAAAAGACTGCGGGCATGCAGAAGGCCTACATTAAATAGCCATAATAATCATGGATTCTTCTTGGAATCATGGAAATCTTGGGCAAATGTTTATTTGATTCAGGTATGCAAATTTACTGCATGGCCTACCCGGTCAGGCAAGCTAAAAAAAATCATCGCGGCCCAAGTCCGGTTGAGCGTAAGTCCGTGAACAGGTATGCGTGGGCTCCACATGTACTTACATTGTACATGTACTTCATAACTCTTGACTATGAACAGTACGCTTAGTCTCCACATAATTTTGCTTGCATTATATAAAATGGTGCAACTGGAAATATGAGGTTTACAGGATGTAGTTTTTATTGAATGTTAGTCTGTTTATAATTGATCCATTTGAAAAGCAGTTCACATAAATTGAAATGAATCAGGGTGAATGACATGTCTTTTGTTTATCTTTTATTTTCAAACAAATTTGGCTGCCAAAATACATAATGTTGGCTCATACATTTGTAGAATGGCTACAAAATCAAACATTTGGCTACAGCTCTGGCTATTAATTGAAGTTTTCCAGCTGGAACCCTATTCATGGTACACAACTTTTGCTTGAAGCATATTGGACAAATTGTTGTTTCAGTCATAGATTTGATTTTCTTTATAGTCAACTTTTTGTGCTTCTTGTTACAGTACTGAATATCTGCTTATGAGATGATTTAGAAAATACTTCAACCACCATGGCCTATTGTCTAAAATCTCAATACTTTTTGAATTGTTTATTCTTTGTTTTCCTAATACTTTATCTCAGCCGGGTTTTGTGTCCTGCTATTCTGACATCTGTCTTTAGTGCGAGTCCTTGTACATGCATGTTGCTTCCATGCATACCCCATGTAGAGGGGTAACGGAGGCTTGTCACTGTATTACATACAGCATTGTGGCTGATTGTGCCAGTGAATTTGTGTTTACCATGAGTCAGAGTTAGGCTTAGAAACATTATGTTATGAGGGTTGTACCTTTAGGGACCTCATGACTTCATGATTGGAGAACAATGTGTTCAGCATATTGCCATCGAAGCCAGCTCAGCTCCCTGTTGACTTGTTGGTACTAGTGCCTCTTGACACACTTTGACAATGCTTTGTGTCACCGGCAACAAGGAATCATTCAGTTGCACTGATGGTGTCTGCACATCGTACATGATTGTCTGTATTTATATTGTCCATTCTCTAGCATGTTGACAAAGTGCAAAAATCAGCTACTTCATTTGGTGGTTTTGTTTTCTACTCCCAAGTTTCACATTCTGCTTTTTCTAGTGTATCAGTAATGATGATGTACTTCTGTCTCTTTTTTCTTTTTCTTTTCTTGCAGCAGGTGTCCAAGGGGAGATGATGAGCCAGAGTATGGACACAGACCATAAGCCTACTCCCAAACCTAAGAAACCGAAGACAAGTCCATCCAGTGACACCAAGCTTAAGCTGAACAACTCCAAAGATACTCAGAGTAAAATGGCTGAATGTGAGGATCCATCAACCACACAAAGTACAAGGAAAGAAACAGTGGCGGCATCCAAGAGTAAAAAACAGTATGATGAGTTGAGTTTGGATTCCTTGTATTGCCTCAATCCCTGTCATTGGCTAGGGAGGGAGGTGCTCATTTCAGAATGTAACCTCTATCTCTCTTCATCCAGTGTCTTTTAATGAATGCCTTTAAATTGTTGTTTTAAGTGCTCTGTCGCAGGGGTGAGATTTGTCCGGATTTTTCGGGGTTTTTTTTTTTTAAATGTGTTCAGGATGTTTGGATTTGCTATATGGCATGGCCTTGCTGGAACTAGAAGTATTTTCCAGATGTGCATAAAAGTGAACGCAGGAGTTGATTAAGTTGAGGTTTTGATAGCACGCGTGCACTCTTGTGTTGTTACTCTGTTGGAATGCAATACAATACCACTGCATAGTGAGGGTATATGCTATTGAACCGTAAGGCCTGGGCATAGCTGTACACAAATGCCATGCACTGTACTGTCCGTGTTCACGAAAAACTTCTCGGATGCCATTTATGTTTATGTGCAATTCTTCACTTTCACGGCTCAAAACGGCTCTTTCATTCCCTTTAAGTCATTGATCTTCGTGATCACAGTGGCTATCTTCCACTTGAGAAAGGCTTGAAAAATCCATGGAAATTTTCAAGTCTCAAAAGTCAAGTAGAAAAGGAGATGGCAAAGGGGAAGATGAATATCATCAGAAATTAAATGGAAAAATCAACAACCAAGGAAACTGCAGGTACATGTGGTGTGTTAAATTGTTGAAATGGAGGATTGCGAGACATGCTGAAAGAGGCATATTTTGGGGGGATTTTTCAGTTTTCTCAAGTATCACCTCTGCTGTCAAGATTTTGAAACACTCATCACAGGAAGCAGAGTTCTCATTATACTATTAAAGCTGCTCCAAAATCTCTGCCAGCTGTTGTCTATATATAGCTCTGTGTATAAGAAAGAAGCGTGGGTTATACTTGTGTATAATATCTGCGTGCTTCAATGAACCGGCAAACTGAAATGATAGCCTCCAGTTTTGCTATCAGTTTGCTTGCACCTAGTTTAAGAGTGAACGTGGAATTAGTCAAAGATATGATTTAACTTTTTTCATGTGAAAATGAGTCACTGTCAAATTAAGAAATTTTTTATTTTGATCCAGTTTGCAGCATAAATTCTTGGTTAATGGTTTAAAGAGTGTCTCACATATTGCATGTACCCCTTTCACCCCCCCACACACACAATGACAGAACCTTAGAAAATCTTGAATCAAAGTCCATTCAAACTATAACTGATGTAATAGGTGAAGAGGAGTAGTATTATCAACAGCACTATCAAATAGACAAAAAAGTAAGGTCACCATTTTGCGTATAAATGGTAGAAATTGTGTTCCATTGGAAAAATATGCAAAAGCATATGACTTACGTGTAATGATCCTTCAGTCAACAAGTAAAAAGTCTGATTCTGCCATTCGAGGCCCATGAAGTTAAATAAGAAATGCTTCATTTTTTTGTGTTTTAATCTACTTATCCATAATATGTAGATTCACATCTGTCAGTGGTGATGAAAGTGGAGACGATTCTTTGACACCAGAGCAGAAGCTTTTGAAGGAGAAGGAACGCCGACATGCTAACAATGCCAGAGAACGCATCAGAGTACGGGATATCAATGAAGCATTTAAAGAGCTTGGCCGTATGACTTGTCTTCATCTCAAGAGTGACAAGGCTCAGACCAAGCTTTCTATCCTACATCAAGCAGTCTCTGTCATTACAAGCCTGGAGCAGCAAGTTAGGGGTAAGAATGGAAGCAGTCATGGCAGAACAAAAACAGAGCCTGCAAATAATATGCGGTGGTGGTGCAAAGGTTATTTCAGTTCATGTGACAGTGGCTTATGCCTTGATATGAAGCAAAGTGGAGTTGTTTTGAACAGTTGCCAGTGCTAAGGTCAACTTATCCAGTCCAAATCAACTCTACTTTATTTCCATATGGGCATTGCCCTTTGCTGTGTATACTGTGTGCTTTGCAAGAGCTGAGGAGGAAGATTTCAGAGGGTGCTTGAGTTGGCATCCAATGAACCAGTTTGGTAATGTATTTCATCAGTGCATGCCCACTGTCAAGCCCATCTGTAGTCATTTGAAAGCAGCAATACATGCATGCAAGGTCTATGCTATCAGCGCAACCATACACCGACTCTGCCTTGTGCTCTGCTCTAGAATGACCTTGCCGTTTTGAAATACATGTACTTCACTGGCTCTTTCGTGACCAGCTGATTAAAAGTGATATACACCTTTTGCACTTGCTGTAATATTTGAAAATTGGCTGCTTTGGGGGGTTGTTATTACTTTGGGTATCATCTCATTGACTCCATTTTTTGAGTTTGCTGCTTCAAAAAAACCAAAATTCAGCAAATTGCTCTTTGTCTTTGCCTGTTGTTTTTAACACTCAAGCATAGGTTATGTAATTTGTCTTGCAAAAAATCCCATAGACCACAGGACGTTCTTGACTTGCGTGGATAAAGGCGCCTTTCCATAGACTCGTCAACACTTGCACCAAGCATTACGTATCCGTCAAAATCGCTTTCAGAGAAATTTTAACTGCTGAACGTAACACTTTATACTGTATTATGTCAATGGAGTGGATTTTTGTGTCCGTGAAAGTGAAACACAATGTGTATACAACGCACCCAAAACGTTCATATGGAAAGGCGTGTTAACCACTTCCTGCCGGGGACTCCGGGATCGGAGACATATGGTTTATATGGGTGGCCAGGGTCTCCGAACTCGGACAAAGGAAAGAGGGCCCTGTATCAAAAGACCGTACTCCAAACGAAAGACCAGGCTGCTGGGTATTACTGGCATTTTTCACTCTCAAAAGTGGTGATAATCCAGCCTTGTTTTGAAACCCTATACCAGGGTTTGGGGCATTGAGAGCGAGCAGATTACTACCGGGGACAAACGCACTCCACCACCGCAGCGATGAGCCATACAGCACCGCTGCACGCTAATCTGGCCCCTATTGAAAAGAGGTCAGCAGTGCACTGAG